TTCGCGGCGAACAAAGGCAGACAGCGTGAGTCAGCGAGGCAGGCTCCCACACGTCCAGCCTACTCACCGGCTCATATTATCCTTTGTACTCGGAGCAACAGGAGATACACGCTGCAAGGCCGGGTCTAAGGCCCTAATATGCACCCTTCGGTTGATATGATTTTTAATATACACAAAGTCTACGCACATCCGTGAGGTTTTGCCATCACGGAGACCCCGGATAACTTTCATACCATAATTGAAATTTTGAGAACTTTGAAAATCTGAATGGAAATAATATCAATAATATGGCAATAAGCAAATAATTGTTAGTTGCCGAATAGCCGAAATACTGGTTCTTTCGTTTTCCCTTCCAGCAGGTGGTTTGCTCTTCCTCTTTGAAAATGGCGACTGCTCTGCCGATAAAGTTTCAGGAGCATCTTCAGGTACTTACGAAAATGTTTCTTATGGCGTTTTGTATGAAACTTGTTAAATTCGGTTTAGTAGAGTTGACCTCTTGCGCATTTTTCAGAAATATTAATCATAAAATCGCTCCCATATGGAGGTACTGTCTGTAAAATTGCATAACATTTAGTGCATTATACCGAAACTGATTTTTTCTTGCGAGTAAAATTTCAAAGTAGTCCCAAGCGATTGAAAAGTTAAATTGAGGCAGCAATACGTCACGTCATCACAACGAGGCAAAAGCACGATAGCCAGCGAGCGCCAGGTTTGTGTTAAGAAATGCTTGCGCACGCGAAAATAACACACTAGTCCTAAGCTTAAGAAGTACTATTCCCTGTTTTTTAAATGACTTGTTTTTAACGCGATTGTTATAGCGCGTTTTCTCGTTGATAATATAATAATTTCCTCCTTGCCTCTGAAGGCTGAAGTAAAACGGACGGAGTAGTGCCTAGAAAGAACCTCCAATAAACTTCGAAACGGCCCATTCAGAAACTCGACTTTATTGTAAGTAGGACGTAGTAAATATCGCACTGACTCCGAATGTACTAATGCGTTCAGTAGGTCTGATGTGGTTCGTCATAGCAGTCGTTGACCGTGTTTGACAGAAATATAAGTACATGCGCTTCGTTACTCGTTGTTTTGGCTATTATTGCTGAAAGCGTTCATGTCTCCTGCATTTTTTGCTACCATAATATTAATTATTCCCTTGTTACTGATCAGCTGTTCCCAAGGAAATCCACCGGTTATTTGGCCCAATTTTTTATTGGGTGTCGTTAGGTGTTTATGTATACAAACGTCTTTTGAACTTTACTTGCTTCCAACTCTGAAAGCCAATGACAGCCTCTGACTGAGCGAGCAAATCACTTTTTGTGTTCAGTTGTGAAATCTCACGGCCTCGGTGGAAATCGAACCCACACAGAAGGGAAACGTTTTGCGCAGCCAACACTATCATTGCGCTACGAGGCTCACCCCGGAGCCGTGAGTTTAATCACACTTGGGTATATATAGTGTATAGAAGAAAATATGCGTGCCCCAGGTTCTTGTTGTAAAGAAGAGGAAGACGCGATCTCGTCTTACTCTTCTTTATATATAGTGTATTTTCGGCCTTTCTCATATCCCACCGGCTTGACGCGGCTTAGCGCTTGGTGCCGGTGGATATCTCACGGTGCACAGTTTCTTTGTTCAGTTTTTCTCCCATATTATTTTAATTTGTTAGGACGCATGCAAATTACGGTGGAAACTAAGGAACCTACGCAGTAGCAGCTTATAGTTTCCACGCAGTTGTCATAACCTGAATTAAAAGCTTTTTTTGCGTGGTTGGCGCTACTCGTCGGCATCATTCTCTTTGCAAACCTGCCGTTTCTAGGCGTTAACAACTACCTTCTGCGTAAGATAATTCCACTGTCTGTAACGTAGGGGCCTGCCGAGTGGCAAACAGGCAGGCTATCATACAGTCCCTTCCATTTGGTATCTACTGTCCCAATCTCCGCCATCGCTGTCGCTTTACTCCTGATGTAGTCCAAACTCGAAGTTTCGACCAAATCCAGAACTACACCATCACACCGCATTCTCTTAAAGATCTTAGAGTCGAATTTTCCGAAGAGCGTGCTATCTAACAGGCGTTCTTTCTGGCTACCAAGCACGTTCTTTTTACGAGGATTTGGGAAACCAGAAAGTGCAGTTTTCCGTTGTTGCTCATTCTCCAGAATTTGTAACCCTAAACCAAAGGACTGTTTGCAAAAAATCTTCGGGGATCTCAAACCTCGACAACTGCAAATCATTCTGTCCGACGAAATGTCGGCTTTTACATAGTATTTTGCCCTTCTTGGCCATACATTTTTGTTCCAGGGCCATGATTTGTTTAAACATCGAGTTGACATGGCAGTGAACCATAATTTAACCCATTATAGTCTGCTTCTGGTTGTTCTTTACCGACCCATTTGCGCTCTCAAGGTGGCTGTTATGAAATAATTCTTACGTCTCTTGAACTTTTAGCTCGTAAATGTCGGAATCCAGCCTTCGAGTATTGGTTTTAATACTCTCACTATAGAATCTGACAAATTCATATGCGTGCGCGAGAAGGTGGACGATGCACATCAGGTCGTTGTCATCGACATGAACGACCCAACCCACCCAACAAGACGTCCCATCACGGCGGACTCAATCATTATGAATCCAGTTACCAAAGTGATGGCGCTTAAGGCTGGAAACGTCTTACAAATCTTCAATATTGAGCTAAAATCCAAGATGAATATGCATAAAATGCCCGAGCCTGTCATTTTCTGGAGATGGATCAACGTGAACACGCTCGCTCTGGTGACAGCTACGGCAGTTTACCACTGGTCTATTGAAGGTGCTTTGCATTTTACATATTTGATATTCTCCTACAGGTAGTTCCAGTCCAACCAAGATGTTTGATCGCCACGCATCCCTTGCCAACACTCAAATAATAAACTATAGGACCGATGAGAGTTCGAAATGGCTCTTGCTGATCGGCATTTCAGCACAGGACAGTCGTGTTGTTGGCTCGATGCAACTATATAGCGTTGACCGCCAAGCCAGCCAGGCGATAGAAGGCCATGCTGCTGCCTTTATCCAGTACAAGGGCGAAGGGCAACCCAATCCAACGACTCTTTTCTGCTTCGCTGTCAGAACCACCCAGGCCTGCAATTTGCACATTATTGAAGTTGGTCAGCCACCCGAAGGCAATCAGCCCTTCACTAAAAAGGCACTGGACGTTTATTTCCCAGTCGAGGCGCCTAATGATTTCCCAGTTGCGATGCAGGTATACATTCCTCTCAATCTATCCACCTTGTAGACCTCACCAAAATACCAAGTCATTTTCCTAATAACCAAAAATGGCTACCTACATACCTACGACATTGAGTCTGGAACTTGCATTTACATGAATCGTATCAGCAATGACACTATTTTTGTCACTGTACCATACGAAGCCACTTCAGGCATCATGGGAGTGAACCGCAAAGGCCAGGTAGCCACATTGTGCCCTTTATCATTGACTAACATTATTTAGGTCCTTTCCGTCAGTCTGGATGAAGAAAACGTTGTCAATTACATAAAAACAAATCTCAACAATCCAACTCTTGCTCTCCGCATGGCTACCCGATGCGGCCTTCCCGGCGCCGAAGATCTCTTTGTTCGAAAGTTTGAATCCCTGTTTCAGGCCGGTCAGTACAATGAGGCAGCGAAGGTGGCAGCTAGTGCACCAAATGCAATCTTACGCACACCGAAGACCATACAAAAGTTTCACCAGGTGAGCAGGAAGTAGCAGCCCTTTTGCCATTGTCTGGTTCAGTACGTCCAGCGGGACCGTTGCTTGCACTTCTTGTTTAGCCGTAGGAGTAGTTTCACAACTCTTATGAAGAAAATGGACTTTAAGGTGTTAATTGTTCGTTTGTCTAACTTAAGTTTCTCAGTCTTCTACAAAACCATTTCAGCTGTATACCTCCTGTCCCGCAATTTCCCTTTTCCTCCCCCTTCTGACCACCGTACAACACACAAGCTTCCAGCTTGGACTTTAAACGTCCAAATAGTCATATTAACTGATAACAAATTGCGTGTTGTCGCGCATAGGTCACTTTTGCTATGTCCCAGGCGAGTACAAAAATCCCAGGTTGTTTTAACGCAATAATACTAACCGGACACGCATGTGGCCAGAAGTGTCAACAAAATATCTTGATACACCCCTATTCTATCATGCTTCGATGTTTTACCTCCTTTAGTGACGCTTATTTCTACCTTTTCTAGGTCCCGACGACGGCCGGACAGACATCTCCCCTCCTTGTCTACTTTGGAATTCTTCTGGACCATGGCCAACTTAATAAATATGAGAGCCTAGAATTGTGTCGCCCCGTCCTCCAGCAGGGTCGCAAGCACCTACTTGAAAAATGGCTCAAGGAAGACAAGCTCGAGTGCTCCGAAGAACTGGGTGATTTGGTGAAACAGGTACGTTTTCATCTTCCTACTTTCTAGTACCTCAGTCGTAAGTTTTGATATCCTTTTCTTTACTGATGATCCGCAAGTAAGACTCAGAGAGTTGCCTATATCGGCTGAATAATTTCCATATAACTCTAGTTGAGTGAAGCTCAACACAGTAACTGGTCATACCTCAGAGTTAATGAGCATGACTTTTTTCTGTGAACTGATGGTGTTATCGATCATTTATATGGGTGCTTGTTGTCTATGTGGCTGACGGGGCAAACTCAATGTCTGCTGCTAGCTACAGATTGGGCTCTTCAAGCGTCGAATCTCTTAACGCACCGTCCGTATCTCACACTAGTATCAAAAGCAGCTTCAGCTTGATCCCTTAGCTGGTCTTCACCGACTACCAAACATTTGGATGGTGTCGAAGGCCTCCCTTGCATGTTGCTTTTACTGCCCGATCTCATCTTTATCCTGTCAATTTAGCCGAAATCCAGTTGAACTCAGTAGAAGTTGTCAACTTACCCGAGGGTTTTGTCTGCTGTTAACTTTATGACATGTGCGAGGGTGAAGCCCTTGGGAGCACTAAGTCGTGCAAGTTATTCCACCGATCTTAACTAAACTCGGAATTTCTCTGCGAACATGGTGGCTGTTATTCGGATATATGGTGACCGAATGGTTGCTAGCAGTGGATAACTAAACTTGCCCTATTAAGGGTTTATTACCCTAATTAGTGTGTGTCCGATAAGACATTTGGTCGCCGAAATAAAGATTTAAGTGAATGCGCGAAAGGCGGTTGAGGTTCTGCTACGTTATCCACAGTCTCCGCTGGGTGTAATTTGACTGTCGGATCTGTGATAGCATCCCTTAGGTCGGTTGATAAACGCTCATCCTGATCAGAACTTGAATCTAGAAATGTAGTTACAACTAGGAGGACGCGCTGAAACTTGTGGCTTGAAAGAATAGCAACTGATGAAATAACTGGATCCTCGTGGTTGGTACTATGTGTATAGGAAGTGACTGACAGGTCTGAGTCATGCTTCTCTTCCTCTGTTTCCCACATTCAACTATAAGATCTCGTGTTATCTTATACATTCTCACTTCCATCAGTGCCCCATGAGTATCGAACTGTAGTGCCAAGATTTCCAGTCGAAAACGGTCTCCCTATGCAGTCTAAAGACTCGTGTGGTCTGGCACATTCAATTTGTCGCTTCTAAAATGAATTCTCCCGTCTTCTGCAGGCCGATCCCACTCTTGCCCTCTCAGTCTACCTACGTGCTAACGTCCCACCCAAGGTGGTACAGTGTTTCGCTGAGACAGGTCAGTTCCAGAAGATTATCCTCTACGCCAAGAAGGTCAACTACTCGCCGGAGTACATCTCCTTACTGCGCAATCTGACGCGAATAAATCCGGAGCAGGCTCTGCAGTTCGCACAGATGCTTGTGCAGGATCAGGAACCATTAGCAGATCTGGAGCAGGTCGTTGATGTCTTTATGGAGCAGGGTCTGGTACAGCAGTGTACTTCTTTCCTGTTGGATGCACTGAAACACAACCGACCCTCCGAGGGACATCTGCAGACACGACTGTTGGAAATGAACCTCATGTCAGCGCCCCAGGTACATATACTTTGATGTGACGCCTTTTACATTGACTCCTTTATGTGCTGCCATCTTGGTCCTTTATCATTAGTTTCTTGAAGGAACATATGGACAATCTGCTACCTTTTTTGTGATTGTTGGCTGTAACCGACGCATAAAGTCTAGCCTGTTGCGCGTTAAGTATCTTGACAACTACCGAACTTTCCAGAATTAATTCACTTTTCTGTTCAAACTATCGTGCCATTAAGGTATATAGTGAACTTGGGTAAGTTTTATTACCTTGCTCTTAACGCCACGAGCCTTCTGATTACGCTAGGTGACATCTGATAAAAAGTTAATCAAAATTTTGGAATTCTGCTAGAAAAAATACTTAATTTGGGTTGTAATATTGATTATCGTGCAGCGTAAGTCAGAAATATCTCAGTAATGCCATAATGCCGGCTTTTGAGTGCGTCTTTTCAATTTCATTTGACAACCTTGTGAACGAAAATATGTTTAAGAAAGGCATGCACCAAATATCATTTCTTCTATGAGTTTTATATAAAATTTCGTGTTCAAATTGTTAACCTGAAGGAAGGGTATCTTTCACTTTTTTAAAATTTCCTACACCTGTTAGAAGACTTTTAATACCTGGCAACATGAACTAGCCAAACGGGCAGTTAAGAGGTTATACCGTCCCTATCAGCGCGGAGCTACCTGATACTTACGGGTCCCCATCAACGTCGCCGGGCTACATAAGCTACTGACTCCTACTCTCCGAAAAAGAATCATATCCTATTTTATCTTTCTCATTTTATGCGGTGGTTACCCAGTTAATCTCCTGGTGACGTGGCCACATGCATGCTCTTCGAATAGACCGATTATCCTCTTCCAGTACGCGCATTTAATACTGAGGTCAAATCTTTGGTTTTTCAAGAAGTGTAACTAAGCTGGCCCGAGGAATAACTCTGTAAATGAGAGTGAGATAAGTGTGCCTGCTCACCTCTTGCTTATTGCAACTAAAGGGAGAAATACAAAGTGACTACTTGTTTGACCATTTGATGCCATGATTGATGTAGTCATGTACGAAAATACAAGCCGCCGTGATTAAATCGCATCACTTCCTCATGACAACCGACTCCATTAAATTTGATGGAATGTAGATTCAGGCTAAATAAATCAGCCATTTCCCCTTCAATATGAAGGCACTGGCATTTTGGGCTGCCTATCTTCTTAAATATTACTGTCTCCCGTCTTCTAGCCTCTAGTCTCAACTGATAGATGAATGTGTCGTTTCACAGTCATACATAGCTCATGGATGATCTTGGTTTACATTCTTAAAACACTTTCCTATATGTGGACGTGTTCGTCTTTACAACTTCCCTTTGCAGCTCGACAGTATTCTACATTATTGACTTTGATTTCAGTCAACTTGCCGCATCCGAATCAGTGCCAATTTTCGGATAATTTCGTCTTGCATGTGATCAAACTCTTTCATGGTAGAGCTGTGCCACTTAATTATCACACTTCGACTTATGCCGTACCCACATAATTAGTACTGTAGACGGCATAACTAGTGAAATCGTGATTTTGGCAACCTCAATTGCAAGCATCGACCACCAGTTTTTTATTTTATTTTCAACCCCTTTCAGGTGGCTGACGCCATTCTGGGCAATCAGATGTTCACGCACTATGACCGTGCCGCCATCGCCCAACTCTGTGAGAAAGCCGGTCTCCTTCAGCGTGCTCTGGAACACTACACTGACCTCTACGACATCAAGCGAGCGGTTGTTAATACTCACTTGCTCAGCCCTGAGGTGAGGCACTCTGCTCTTTTTACTCGTGTCAGACTTGTACAGTGTTTCGTGCACTCGGAATCTACCTTACAAGTTCTGCCGCTTTAGTAACCATTAACTGAATGATTGAGGATTTCCACCTGACCTGCATTGTAACTAAACCAGCAGTATAACCGTATCTCGGTGGAAGGAAATTCGATATCTTCCTCGTCTTTTCGCCTCCACCCGCTCAGATATTGCCTACAAACTGCCTTCAGTTCGCCCACCGTTGCTAGTTTGTCAATCGAATGTACTGTTTCTTCCGACTCTCTCCCTTATTATTTTTCAAGGTTTTCATTGAAGGTCTTTCGATTTCCATGAGTGTCCGTCTAATTACTCGTTTGGGTCTGTTTGAAGACTTTCGATCTCACAAAACTACTGATTTTAGTTACGTTGACTACGTTTTCCCAACACTTGCCAGCAGGAGAAGTTTAAGCTTAAAACAAGTAGATAACGTGTCAGTTCCCTCCGCGTAAGCGAAGTGCGTGCGCAGATTGTGCTTACAAAATAAAATCACCTATGTTCTTTTCCCCTGTTACAGTGGTTGGTCAACTACTTCGGCTCTCTTTCTGTCGATGACTCTCTGGAATGCCTCAAGGCGATGCTGCAAGCCAATATTCGTCAGAACCTCCAAGTCTGTGTTCAAATAGCGACCAAGTACCACGAGCAGCTGGGCACTAATGCCCTCATTGAAATCTTCGAGTCTTTTAAGTCCTTCGAGGGTCTCTTTTATTTCCTCGGCTCAATCGTCAACTACTCACAGGACCCCGAAGTACACTTCAAGTACATACAGGCTGCCTGCAAGACTGGGCAGGTCAAAGAGGTGGAACGTATCTGCCGTGAAAGCAACTGCTACGATCCTGAACGTGTCAAGAACTTTCTCAAGGTGAGTGCGCCACCCTATGCCGACGTCGTATACAAGTTTACCATTTCTCATCTTGAATCTTAACGTCAGTTAACTGGGTTGAGTGTTTTTATGCTGTTTAGAAGCGAGTAAAGTACGCGCTCCCTGACTAGGTTTCAATTTCAAGAGAGTGGGAGAGCGACTTCAGGCTGTACTAATCCGTATGCTTTTTTCTTTTTACAGGAGGCCAAGCTGACTGATCAGTTGCCGCTAATCATCGTCTGCGACAGATTTGACTTCGTGCATGACCTTGTGCTCTATCTCTACCGCAACAATCTGCAAAAGTACATTGAAATATATGTGCAAAAGGTTAATCCGGCTCGTTTGCCTGCTGTGGTTGGTGGGCTTTTGGATGTGGACTGCGCTGATGATGTCATCAAGCAACTCATTGCAGTGGTCAGAGGTGAGTGCACAGCTATCTCTTTGTCCTTTATCACCTCAAAAGTATGTCTCCTCACACGCTCTTATCACTGTTGG